CTGCAAATAATGCCTTAGTGGTATTGCGCTAAAGAGACATTCCGATACAATTGTTCAACAAGCGTAGGTAAACATTTAGTGTTCTAAAATCGTTTTATAATTTAGTAGTGTTCTAAACGTTGTTACGCATGCGCTGTAAAGTTGGAAAAGTATCATGGCGGAAAATAGTACAGTCTAGTTGCATCTATTTCAAAAATAAGAAGCAATTACGGTAAGTATCTTATGACGTTTGTACCCAATAAGTTAATTAAATCATACTGAATTGAGATGTTAACAGAATAACACAAAAATAAATAATGTGCTAAGGTAAATTACCAAAGTTTATCGGTTGAAAACGAAAGTAGAAAGTAGAGTCTTATTTGTAAACAGGTAAATTTTTGGGAGCGTGAGGCAAATCTTAAATAAAGTTTCCTTTTAAAAGGAAAGGCTTGCACAGTTGTGCCTTCATCCCAACATATTTAGTTGTTTTTATTTTTGTAAAAACGAATATTTTTGTCAAAACGATTTGAAATCTATTTTCTATTGTATAAAACTAATAAAGAAAATAATCAATCGTAAAAATACTAACATGGAGATCTATCTATCATACTGAAAGGAAACAAGTGTGCACATTTCATTTCCACTTCGTTACGTGGTACCAATTAATAAGCATCGCTATCTATATATCATCACGTGGTATGGTTAATGATATGCATGGACTATTTTTAGATTACCTCACCAAATTCAATAGATCTAAATATAACTTGATCGTGCACTAATATTCTGTGTGAATTGGACCACCCTTTGAAGACGGAATACTACTACAGTCAACATCCTCTATTGTATAAAACTAATACAGACAAAAAACAATTATAAAAGAAACTAACTTTTGCGTCTTGAAAAAGAATTGAAACGGAACAATTTCGTTTATAATTTAGGAAGTGGCTAGCAGTACGGGCCCGTACGGCTAGCCAAAAGTTCTAGCCGTACGTGAGTCACGTATGACTAGCCAGGACACACTGTATTGGCTAGCCGTACGGCACTTTTCAAAATTATATGGAAGTCGAAAATGCATATTTTATTTTGTGTCTTTACACGAGGATTTTAATCATGTCTCCGCATTTGTCCTAGTGTGTTCACTTTAATAAAGATGCTCCGCCATTTTGTAAAAAAATGAATAAATAATAAATAAGTAAATAGAAAGAATACTGGGAAAAAAACGGTGAAAAGCAAAAATAATTTAATGGAAGTGGCTAGCCGTACGGGCCCGTACGGCTAGCCAAAAGTTCTAGCCGTACGTGAGTCACATACGACTAGCCTGGACACACTGTATTGGCTAGCCGTACGGCACTTTTCAAAATTATATGGAAGTCGAAAATGCATTTGTTATTTTGTGTCTTTAAACAACGATTTTAATCAAATCTCCGAATTTGTCTTAGTGTGTTCACTTTAATAAAGATGCTCCGCAATTTTGCACAAAAAAATAAATATGAGTAAGCGTTGTATAATCTATCTTAATAAAATTGAATGTCAAAGTTGCATGTTATAACGTCCTTAATTTTCATGCTTATGAAAGATGAATTGTTAAATCTGTTAATTAAGCACATGGATCGAATAAATAATGATCGAAGGTAAGTAAATAAATAAATAAAAAGAATATTAAAAAAAAAAACGGTGAAAAGGAAAAATAATTTAATAAGAAAACTTTTCTTAACAAACTTCTATACCGGCGGTAATTGACGCAATTATCAGAGCCCAGCAACAATTTTTTTCGGTGTTTTTTTTTTTTTTCAGTTTAAAAATTAAACTTAATGAAACAAAAATAGATTATTATCAAATTTTGTAAACTATTTCAATTCATGTTGTTTAACTGCAACCAAACGCTATTTTTTCTCGACGTCTTGAGATGACAAAGTAAATTATTTACTGTAGCCAACACGTCGATCTAAAATGTAAACATTCTTGACTAAAACCCTCGCTTAAAGTCATAATTAACATATGCACTTTCGCCTTCAATATATATTTTTGAAAAGTGCCGTACGGCTAGCCAATACAGTGTGTCCTGGCTAGTCGTACATGACTCACGTACGGCTAGAACTTTTGGCTAGCCGTACGGGCCCGTACGGCTAGCCACTTCCTAATTTAATACAGAATAGATAATTTTAAATATCGAACATAAAAGCACAATCAATTAAAAGCCTTAATTAAGGCAAACTTTCCTTTATGATGCAGGGCTAGCACTGGCAATTTTTTACTTTGAGCCAATTCTTCGCGGAGAAAATTGCCTGCCTGTATTTTTATTTTCAAATCAGGCAATGGTACAGCATGGGATATTTAGAAAAGCATTAACTATTATCCAACTTATTTTGGTAGCTACATTTTTATTACATTAACAAATCTTACATATACATGTATGAGTATAATTTACAGTCAGTAATCATAATTTTAAGCTTAGAGGTCAGTAACTAAAAGTTACATGTAGGCAGCAAGGTTCCCTTAAAATCTAAGTCTGTGGCAAGGTAGTGACATAAGGTCAATCTTTTTTTTTTTTTCAGGAATACTCTGTATGTCAAATAAATTTCTTCTCAATTTTATATTTTTTGAGCCATAATTAGGTCAGATTTCAGGGCCAAAATCCCCTTCTTTGTAGTGGCCCAATAAAGGCTGCTTCCCCAACCAAACTAGCCTCTTTTTTTCCCCAGTTTGGTCCTCAAAATCCCCCAGTCTTTTGAAATTTCCCATAGAATTTAGAACAAAATTAAATGATGGTGTTGAATTTAGGTCTTTTACTGCCTTATTAGTATTTCCCACTGCTTTTTGCTGTCCTATTTTGAAGAACATTCCCACTGCTTTTTGCTTTTCTATTTTGAAGAACTTGTTAAAATTTTGCGTTAAATTTGAGACCCCTTTTCCCAAAGTATGCTAAAATCATGCATATTTTCCCCAAGAAAAAGGCCAAGGCCCCTTCCTCAAAAATGGTGTTTGGCCCTGGATTTTATTGGCAATAACACCCTCCAACCACCATCAAAAAAAAAAAATCAACAACAATTAACTCGTAATTCCTTCGATCTGTTTATCAACAACGATAAAATTTACAGGTCAAGTTGCCAACTGCAGAACATAATTTGTCGCCATTTCATACCCAAAATGCTGATTTGATTAGCGATAATCTTTAGATGCGGCTAGTTATTGTTTCATATTGAATATTAAGACCAATTACCCAGTGCATATTCAACAATCTGCCACAGGTATTTTTCACACCAATTAGTGTCGTATTTATCAGCTGATAACATGTAAACATACCCTGAGGTCAGTGTATTAGACTGTGTTACTGTTGATATCAATATTTCGTTCCGAATGGAAGTTACAAATATAAACCAGTCAATGACCCACAAAAAGTAGACTGTGTCGCTGTGTTTTGAGATAAGAAGTGATAAAACAGAAGTTGTAGATGGAAAACCAGATGTGTACTTTTCCATTCTTAAAATAGAAAATGCTAAATTTAGACTGGAGATTCCAAAAGTCATACTTTTCATAAGTTTGAGCCAATCGTGATTTTCTTGAGCCAATTTAATTATTTTGGAGCCAATTTGCTCATTGGCTCCTGCCAGCGCGAGCCCTGTGATGGACAAACTTCTATACCGTCGGTAATTGACGCATTTATCAGAGCCTAACAACAATTATTTTCGGCGTTTTTTTATTTGAAAATTAAACTAAATGAAACAAAAAAAATATATCCACGTTTTGTAAACTATCTCAATTGATGTTATTTAACTGCAACCAAACGCTATTTTTTATCGACGTCTTGAGATGACAGAAATATATGCTGTATTCGTATACTTTCTTTACTGTAGCCAACAAGGCGATTAATCTCTAAAAAGTAAACATACGAAGACAATTGCTGTGTCTTGTACAAATCCTCGCATAACATATGCATTCTCGACTTCCATATATTTTTGAAAAGTGCCGTACGGCTAGCCAATACAGTGTGTCCTGGCTAGTCGTACGTGACTCACGTACGGCTAGAACTTTTGGCTAGCCGTACGGAGCCGTGGCTGCAAGCCAAAAAGCAGCAATTGACATTACGCCAGAGAAGGGATCGCTCCGCCCACTGATTCACGTGACCCGGTCAGTAAGAGCCTTAGACAAAAATTAATTAATACGCTACCGATGTATTTGCAAAGCTGTTGTGCCAATAATGTTACCAATGAATAAACTTTTGATGCTTTTAATGGTTTTATTGAATAGTAGATCTGTAATTAAATGTACTACGGTATTCTTAAAAATTAAAAAAATCTGTATTTACGCATTAATGACGCATGAAACGTTTTGCAAAGATGGTGTTATTTTTTGTTGACTTCAAATGAAAATTTAAAACTGACAAAATATCATTATAACTTACAAATTCAAAGAGAGACTATAATTATGTAGAAACGTATATGATTATGTTATGATTGTTTATTTTGAAATTGAAGTAGCGAAACATAAAATCATGGAACTAAATATAAATTGTTTATATATCTGTGATAAAACAGTAAAGTTATATTAGTGACACAAATAAAGTTAAACTCATTTTTCGGATTTTATGGCAAAATTCAGTTTTAATGATACATTAATTTGTTCATGAATTGTTAAAATGGATTCAGAAAATTGCATGCCCTTGCTAACTTTTTATGATATATGATTATTTATTGCTTACATACATTTGATATGATTCACGACAAAACACAACGTTATTCTCTTTAAGATAAACATCACATATATTATTTATATTATTAGACATGATGTTATTGGAATGAGTTTCGTATTTTAGCAGATCTATTTGAATGTTCAATATTAATTTCTTGAACTTTAATAGAAATATTCAGGTTAGATAATTTCACCCATTTTTTTTTTATTATTTTTACTCGTTATATTTGCATTTTTACGGCTGCGTTTTTATTGACGCTAAACATTATTAACAAAAGATTGTCATATCACCTGGATATTCTGGGACCTTATAATATGTAATGTGATTATTAATAGATAGAATGGGAAAAAGTGAATTTGTTTAAACCTTTTCCCTTTTCAATGCATTGTGTTATAGCCAGAATAAATGTTTCGTACTTGTTATTACCATATGTATAGAAAATTATTGACTTATTGTATAATAAACTAATGTCACTATATTTGTTAACTTAATTATATATGATCAAAATTAAAAAAATTTCATTCTAAATTACTTCTGCACCA